TATGCGAACATTGCTTGTTGCAGTACTAACGGGACGAAAATAAAAGTTGCTTCGCAAACAAAAACAGGATATAAATATAGTAGATCGTTTTTAACACACTAACACTATTTAATGAAATCAATATCCTAAATGTATATAAACTAAACCTCTATCATGTTCTTTTTTTCATGTTCAAACTTGATAAAAATATGTTACCTATATTATTTTATTCAATTTTTGAAAAAATTAATCACATATAACCTACTAGATTTTAAAATACAGTTACTAATTATATTATTATATTTAATCCAAAACTTATTATTTCGCTATTAAATTCTCAATTGTAAACCGAGGACCAAAGTTGTGGAGCATAATATCTTATATATATTTGTCAATTTCTGATTGGTTGCTTGATTGTTTTCAGTTAACAGCCAGACCGTTGGTCCTAGAAACTTGAAATTTGGCATGGATGATCCCCATGACCCAGGGTGTGACCCATGACCATTGGCTATCTTAAGTTGACTTCGGATGTCACTGGATGCCGCCCGGGGTCGCGGGGGCTACCAATCGGTCAATTTTGGGTCAGGGGTGGATAAAGATTTTCTTGTGAAATTTAGAGTTGTTCCGCGACCCCGGGGGTGGGGGTGTGGATGACTTTAGGCTTGACCTCTACTTCTGTAGTATTCCATGAATTGCTGTAACCTATTTAGTCATTTTCCAGAATTTTCTGAAGTGTTCCACATTTTTCAGGAATGATCAAGAATTTTCTGGAATGTTTCATTGTGCACAATATGGCTGTTCCATCACCTTCCAGAACATTAAAAAACTTTCCGGAATGTTTGATGGTGCTCTTTAGTTCCATCTAGAACCTTCCAATGGGATATAAATGGATCACCAGAAATCATACATAGCTCAGTTTATACCAAGATTCTGCGCTGAACACATCTTAACAATGTTACAGTTCTGAAAGTCAGTTCAGGAAGTCAATTTGCTCTTTACATATTGCTACAAAGAACAGGTAAAGAAATATTATTATTTGAAAATAAATAATTCATTTTTAGTTCTTTTATTTTATGGTAGTCAACTTTGTACAAAAATATTCTTTTCAAATGAATATTATATTCGAAATTTTTCTTCATGTTATAGTGAACACCATACTGTAGTGAACACATCTGAAAGTCAGTTATGGAAGGCAATTTGCTCTTTTCAAATTGCTACAAAGAAAGTCAGAAGTGGCAGAAGATTATGCGCCTGCAGCTTCATGCTATCGTGAGGACAATTTCCTTTAGAGATACCAGTGCAGATCAGTTTGCCCATCACCTTAAGCAGTTGGGAGATAGAGGGGCACCACTTGGGAAAGATGGCAAAACTGACATATCTGTCATTGCCAATGTGGTGCAGTCCCCACAAGACCTCATTGCAAAATTTTTTCCAGACTTAGTATTGAAGTTCAATGACCTTGCGTGGCTCTGTGAGAGAGCAATTCTGGTCCCCAGGAATGATAATGTCAACTCTATTAACCACTTTCTCCTTCAAAATATTCCTTGAGACGTGCACACGTATCGGTCCATTGACACCGTTACTGAAGTAGAAGACCATTAAATACTCGGTGGAATTTTAGAATTCCCTCGAACCACCTGGTACTCCCCCACATTTATTGCAAATCAAGGTAGGTGTCCCAGTCATGCTATTCAGAAACTTGGAACCTGAAAGACTTCAAATGGTAATAGACTAATGGTAAAAAAGCTTATGCAAAACTGCATTGAGGCCACCATTCTAACGGGCTGTGCTAAGGGTAAGGGTGTGTTTATCCCAAGGATTCCAATTATCGCATCAGATAAGCTCTTTCAGTTCAAAAGACTCCAACTGCCGCTCAGGCTCTGCTTTGCAATTTCAATTAACAAAAGCCAAGGCCAGAGTCTTAAAGTAGTAGGGGTTGATCTCACAAAGCCTTGCTTTTCCCAAGGGCAACTTTATGTAGCCTGCTCAAGAACAGTTTCTAGAGACAACTTTTTCATATATGCCCGGATAGAAGAATTTTTAATACTGTGCACCAAGAAAATCTTCGACAGTTTTTTTATAGTACCCAAAATTGAGAATATTTTGGTCAAGTAATTGATTTTTGGAAAATAAATTTTCTTTATACACCAACAACTTTGATTTATTTTGCCAATGCCCAGCAAAGCGGGCTACTTAAATAATAAAATGAAAACTAAATATCCTCTAAACCAATTAAAAACAAAACTTAACCCATTAATTTCGTCAAGTGAAAATGTATTAAATTTCTTCATATAAACCTTCCATATAATAGATAAATAATTAATTACCGTAGATTATTAATACATAATTGATCAACATTGTACACATATTTTATTATTTTAAATGATAATCTTATTTTTGAAAAATTTATTTTTATTTTTGCGTTGGTTATTAATCCTTTACTTTTACTTTTTACTGTTTATTTGCTTTTACTAAAAATATGTTTTATATAAAATCATGTCTTTTTAATTTTTTTTAGTTT